ATTGGTTTTAGCTAGACACTGTTACTCACACCTGTAATCCCAGCACTCTGGGAGGCTGAGACAGGTGGATCTTGAACTCAGATGTTCCAGACCAGCCTGAGCAAGAGTGAGACGCTCTCTCTACTAAAAATAGAAAAATTAGCTGGGCATGGTGATGGGCACATATAGTGTCAGATACTCAGGAGACTGAGGCAGGGGATTGCCTGAATCCAAGAATTTGAGGTTGCTATTAGCTGTGACACTGGGGCACTCTACGCAGGGTGACACAGTAAGACTCTGTCTCAAAAAAAAAATTGGTTTTAGCTTTTTTCTTTTCTTTTCTTCTTAGAGACACAGTCTCACTTTATCTCCTTTGGTAGAGTGCTGTGGCATCATGGCTCACAGCAACCTCCAACTCCTGGGCTTAAGTGATTCTTTTGCCTCAGCCTCCCAAGTAGTTGGGACTATAGGCACCTGCTAGAACACCTGACTATTTTTTGTTGCAGTTTGGCTGGGGCTGGGATCAAACCCACCACTCTCATTATATGGGGCCGGCACCCTGCCCACCGAGCCACAGGCGCCATCTCTGATTTTAGCTTTTTAAGGATGCCAATCAGCCTCTGCATATTTTTCAGAGTTCCCTTTAGACTTATATTCAGTTAAGAAAAAAAGTATCTTCTGACAGTTTATTTTAACTTCGTACTTCATTTATGGTAGGATTTTAAAAAATTATGAAGAAGAATTGCTCTCTCCTCTTTCACATAGTGACATATAAGATATTCCTCTTACTTTACCAACTTTAGAAATTTGTAAATATTTAGAAATAACCCATGAAGATATAAAATGTTTAAAATGTTTATCAGTAACCAAATATGGCTTCTCCAGGATTCAGAGCTTTTTTAAGGTTTTCTTATTTCGTCCTTCACATTAAAAAAGAAATTGTTTATCTGTCTTAATGTTATGTTCTAGGTATCTGTATGCTTAATAAACTTTAGGTTTTACTTTATTATCAGTGTTCACCAAATTCTTAATAGGCAACTCTCTTATCAAAATTAATAGCCTTGAATTTTTAATGTTCCAAAGCATTGACTCCTTTTTCCATATTTTTCTCTAAGAAAATTTTAGTTCATGGTTATCCCAATAGTATATAATGACCACAGATGTTTCTAGTCTGGAATTTCGTAGGCCAATGGTTTCTAAGCATTCCTGCACGTTTCAGTCTCCTAGAACACCTTGGTTGTTTGCCATATCAACTAAATTAGAAGGAGTGAATCGGGTATCTGTATTTTTTTTTAAAGATCCAAAGATTATTTCAATGCACAGTATAGTATTCAGAGGCCCATGCCCCCAGACACAGCCTCAAAATCCAGAGCCTCTAAACCACAGAAGGTTCAAAACCCCCATGGAGGGAAGAACAGGTTTGGAGATCCTTAGAAAGTCCATCTATGATCTATCCTATTAGGGTACATGTGAATTTGTCTGAAGGTTGAATATAAATGTCTTAACACAACAATTATGAGAAGGACATGATGGCTATG